TGTCTTCCTGGTTACCTTGCCTGTCATTCAATGATTCTATGGTTATTCTACAGTGATAATAGAGAAAAGCAACTAAAAACAATGTTCTTTATTTGGGTCAGGTGCATTTCATCCACCAACTTGGAGTAATGAGATTACCACAAATTACCAGATGGTCACATCAAATTTTTAGCAGYATCAGTGATAATAGAAAAAGGCCTTCAAAATATCTCTTTAATAATCAGCACTTGCTAATGTTAAAATACTGGTTTAGAAAATATCTGRGATTAATAAGCCATGATCTCAGGGCCCCTTTTATACTGTCTAATGCACACAGCATATAGAATGTGAGACAAAAGTCTCACAAGGGAACAGCCACTTCAACCTCTGTCCCATGGTTAATTCTAGCTCTGGCTTGAGTTCTACCAGTCATGAGATCAACTGAGCACAAGTGTGCAGATGTGGTCAGCTCAGCCAAAACCCTGTGTCCTCAGCATTAGATATAGATTTGAGGGAAACCAGGTTGTARCATGTGAATTTATTTTGTAATGTAACATTACACTATTATGAAATGGAAAAAATAAAAGTATAAAGCCTCAGCCATTACATATTTTGCAATTTGGGCTATCTCCCAATGTGTAATTTGTTTGACTAACTTTATTTTAATGAATATTAAATTCCCTCAAGTGCCCATTACATTTAATTCATTAAAGGCATACATACCCCAGAACATTTATCTATCTCCAAAAGAAGGCAAAAAATCCTCAATAAAACATAGATCACAGTACAGGGAACAAATTCGAAATTTGCTGATAAAAGTTTAGAGATATGCTGTAGTTTCACAGACTTTAGCAATAAACTAAGACATAAAACCTCAACTCAAATTTATTTATTTTTGTGGTACTGGGGATTGAACCCAAGAGTGCTCTATCACTGAGCTACATCCCCAGCCCTTTTAAAATTTTATTTTTTTAAAAAAAATGTTTTTAGTTATAGATGGACACAATACCTTTACCTTATTTGTTTATTTTTCTTCCTGTGGGTGCTGAGGATCAAACCCAGGGCCTCACTTGTGTTAGGCGAGTGCTCTACCACTGAGCCACAACCCCAGCCCTTAAATTTTATTTTGAGACAGGGTCTTGCTAAGTTGAACAGGCTGGCCTCAAAATTGCAGTTCTCCTGCTTCAACCTCCTGAGTTGCTGGGATTACAGGCAGGCACTCCCATGCCTGACCCCATCTCAAACTGAGTTTTAAAAATGGAAGATTTGTTATTTCACATAACTGAAAATTCARGGTACAGAAGTTTATAAATTCTGGCACATCTTTATTTAGGACCCAAAAAACAAGGCAAAATCTTTCCCCATCTTTTGGTCTGCTATTAAAAATGGTCTCAATATTGGCTTCAGTCTACTGCTCCAGTCTGAGGTTCCAGCAGCTCCATGTCTCAATAGTATAAGAAAGAAGTCCCAAAATTCATGACCCATAGACTTCAGTTCCTCCCTAAACCAATCACTCATAACCAAGAGAACAGAATATTCTAATTGCCTAGGCCTGGATCATGTGTCCCCTCATAGAGCTTGAGAAGGAAGTCAACCACAAATGGACTGTGAACTTGAAATAAAAGGTAGTAGTTTCACAAAGAGACTCTTTGGTACTATTATCAGAAGAAGAAGACATGGATATGTTAAATACAATAAATAAGAGTCCATTGGCCTGAGACTATTCCATACTTTGAGTTTCTACCCAACAAACTACAATGGAATTTAATATGAAAACTACCAAAATCTAAATTGGGAGTGTTGTTGTTATTTGTCACAGCAAAATCTCAGCCCACCACAAGCAACCCAAATCCAGTCAATCACAGGCAACCAACTGTCAGGCAATGTTGAATAAAGGCAAATGCCTAACTATAACCTGTCAAGTTGTTTCTGTACTTCACTTTGCTATTCAGCCGATGAAAGCTCAAGGCCTACACTGCACAGGAGAGCTCTCAACACCTTTCAGTTTAGAGTGGTGCCCTATTCATGAATCATTCTTTGTTCAAATAAACTCTGTTATGTTTAATTTGTTTAAAGTTTTTCTKTTACAGATATATTGAGCACATGATACAAAATAATAGATGTCCATTATAACATGATTATAGGCCCTCCCAATGGTAGAGGGAGCTAACAACCCCTCTTGAGGCCTGTAATGTTTACAGCCCAGTTGTGCTAGGGTAGTGGGGTAGGTTGCTGAGAGACCAAAGARGACACCTAAAGATGGGATGTGAGATATAAGGTTTACTAAGAAACACTTATGGGGAAGATCCAGTGGCAACAGTCTAGGTGCCTGGCCAGAAAGATCAATGGCAATGGGGTGGACAGGTGCTTCCATTTCACAAGGTGCCTCCAGTGCTTCACCATAAAATAGTGCCTCCGACCCCCTTCAACACTTTGTACAGTGAGGGCCAGCTGGACAAGCACTCCTTCTCCACAGCGCTCTGATACCACAAGAAGAGGGGTTGTACATATTATGCTACAGACGTAGTGACATCATCAATTTAGCTTGCTTTTACCTGTGACCAGCATCCCAAGGAACTTGTTGTGAATGCAAAAAAGCCACTTTGTACTGATAACACTAACTTGCCCTAATTCCCAGCATACGAGAGAAAGCCAGTGTCCCTCAGGATAATTTATATCTGGATATTTGAGCCTAGACTCACTCTCATTGTTCCCTTAACCTGGCTAGGTTTTGGGGTGTGGGGAGGGTCCCTTCAGGGACATAGTATTTTATTGTCCTTTTCTTCAAAGATGACACAAGACCCTATCATTCTATTGCCATTATTGATTYTGTCTTGTTTCCAACTCTCTTTACTGTTCATCCTAGTTAACCCATGTTCTGTGTCATCATATAATTGTTTTTGTGGGACATTTCCAATTTCGAGTATTCCATTCTAGGACACCACACACAAAATTTATATTTAATAGATCACAAGTTGTGATTGGTCTTGGCTTTGGAAAATCTAGTCATAGTATGACCCAGGAAGAGGCATAAAAGAAACTGACAGAGTTGTCCCTCTGCCTTCACCACCAGTAGCTGAAGTATGTCTCACAAAGGATGGGAATGCTACTCACTGGGGTCTATTTAACAACTGGAAAGTTTGTTCTTCCCTCTACCTAAAATAAAGAACAAATGAAACCTCTAGAACTTGGAAGCTTTGGCAGAAAACCAATTAATTTATGTGAGAGAGAACTTAAGAAATAATTGTAAGTACAAAGACTGCTGCCTCTCCACAGAGGCAGTTAGGACAGAAGTATGATCAGCCTAGAAAAGCACAAACTAAGTACAAGTCTTTGGGTACTTGGTCAAATGCACCACACGATGGCGACAGCAGCAAAGTAGCAGCCCTTGGGGCATTAACCAAAGGGGTTGGAATTTCCAGTGAAGTGTTTGGTAACYGTCAGCAAACAAACCTGAGGGGCTATTCAGGGAAGAAAGAGAACCTACAAGCCTTCCCATTAAACACACCCCCTTGTCATTTCTGTTTCTTCAGGAGCTACAGTTGGCATATCTGAAGAGAAGGGATTTGATGGGTTGTGAATAGAGGGAGATGCCAGGGAAATTTAAAGTCCCATCTCCACAGCTACTCCAAAGTCACTGGGAAAAGGCAATTGAAAGAATTCTWTAGCTCAGTGAGGGCTCAGGAATAATTTAGCCATGCTATGTAACATTTGACCATTCAACAAGATTGAAGAAGAGAAGGGGTGGAGGGAGGGAGGACAAGAAGGAAGAAGGTGGTTCAGCTTAGAACCAACAGGAGGTACAGTTATAGAGCCCCTTCTTGAAATTGTACCTTCTTCATTTTTCTTAAATTCATATTCAGCATATCAGCCTTTGATAAATGTTGGGGGCATCCTGTTAAATTCTGAAAAGACATTTCTATAGGGTTAACCAAAAGAAGATGGTTCAAACATTCATTAAATACATATTTTTGGAACATGTATTTCATGCCAGGTTCCATGCTGGGTGCTGAGGATATGACAATGAACAAAGCAGATSTCATCCCTGCCTGGTCCCGTAGCTTTATGGTGACCTGCCTTGATACAAGCTGCGTGCAGGCCTGCCTATGCTTTCTTTTTTCTCTCCAAAAAAGTCAGAGTGAAATAACACATTTTGCAKAAGACATTGGTTAGATTTGTGGCTACCCAGAATTTTCTGAATAATTTTCCCATTCTTGAGGATTTTCCCCACAGTATAATTCCTGCCTGCCTAAGACAGAAGCCAAGACTCACCTTCCCAGACTTTCTTGCAACTAGATCACAAGCAAAATGACCAGGTATTGCCAATTGGTGCACCCACATGATTTATGGATTAAAAAGAGAGAAACCCGTGGAAACAAACTTCACAAGGAAACCATTTTCAAAACAGGGTGAGGATGGGCAAATTTAGCTTCCCAAGGCTGTGTAAATGGAAGTTTTTGGCATCCAGGGTTCAGCAGTGGCCTTCAAAACGGTTCATTTCTCACTGTGCAGATTGAGGCCTCTCTGGCTGTACCAGAAATACCCTGAGCTAACTAAGATTGTCAGCTGCTTATCTTTCAAAACGAGTTATGAGTTCTGTTCTTTGCAAGGAACTGTGATTAAAACATATACTAAATGACTGTTTTGTGTCAGACTTTAAACTGGCACACTTCTATTTTACTTAAACTTCATTAGAAAAAATAATTTAAGTACAAATTATAGATTTTACAGTTGGAAAAAAGGATTCAAAAAGACCCTTGATCTATTCTACAAATACTTATTAAAGGCCTACTGTGTGCCAGCCACTGGGAATAAGGAATAAATTAGTTCTCCGCAACTATTTTAAAAACAGCATATTGTACTTTACATGTCCCCTTGTCAAAATAAAAGACACAGTAAACCCACCGCCTGGAGAGGATCTCCTTCCAGTCAGGCCCCAYTTTAAATATAGAAGACCCCTAAAAATAGCCACCCAAGTTCCGACTCAACAGGTGATTGGCTCMAAAAAGGGGAGGAGAACGTAAGCCTCAGTGAAGGAGAGTGGAAGGACAGTGCCATTCCCAGCTTCTCTTGCCACAATGGCTCTGCCTCTGAGGTTCTTGAGTAGGGGTTTGGCCAGCACAGCCAAGGGAGACCACGGAGGGGCAGGAGGTGAGTGGAGCCAGCGTGCCTGACCCTCTTGCTTACTGGTTTTGCCCACCTGGTTCCTACACACACACACACACACACACACACACACACACGCCTAGCCTCCGGGCAACCCCCTACTAGGGCTAAGCGACCCCAGACCTTCCAAGGGCCTCCGCCTGGAGGCCTTGACCTTCTCTCTCACCCTCGCCCTTGCTCTCACCCAGCCAGCACCTGGCGCCTCCTGACCTTCGTGCTGGCGCTCCCCAGTGTGGCTCTGTGCACCGTCAACTGCTGGCTGCACGCAGGCCACCGCGAGCGCCCAGAGTTCATCCCCTACCACCACCTCCGCATTCGCACCAAGGTATGCGGGACCCAGAGGGCGGGCAAAGGGGGTGCGGGGACACCCCCTGGCCCGGGGCCGCTCTGACACTCTCTGTCCCTTCTCGGCTCTCTCTACAGCCCTTCGCCTGGGGGGACGGCAACCACACTCTTTTCCACAATCCCCACTTCAACCCTCTGCCCACGGGCTACGAAGACTGAAGCCCCAGCGGACAATCCCAAGCACAATAAAGGTGTGAAAGTTTTGTGTCCTTAGGCTTTTTGGGGACAGCGGGAGCCGAAGGGTTGGGTGGGGCCCCGCTGGGCTGCACCGATTATCCAGGGCTCGGCCTGTCGRCTCGGCGCATGCGCGGGCTGCGTGGTTGCTCTCGCGTGTTACTCCCAAGTTGCTTATAATGGCAGGTGCTCGAGGGACCTGCGTGAACAGGTAGGCAATCTCCGTCCCCCTCTCTTACCCATTAATATTTAGGTCTCTAGGCTGTACAGGGTTTTCACATAACTGAATCCAGATATCATTTTGTTCCTCTTCTCTAGAGGAGGAACCTAAGATTCTCAGCGACCTCATTGTCTGCAGCTGATCAAAGGTCCGATGGGAACCCAGGAGTGCAGACCTGAAGTAACTCTCCCCTGACACACCCAGGCATCTGTGAATCCTGGCTATCTACAGATAGCCCTAATTTCAAATGTGGGCCCTGCCGTCCTCTGTGTGAGGTGTCATGACCTAATTCTGGATTTGAAATATTTTGGTCATTCTCTATGATGCTTTTCTGTATTAGTCTGGAAATGAGAGAGTCCTTTCTGGAAGCCTGGCTCTCCTGGATTTTGGGGTCCCATTCAAGGGAAACTTGGGTTCAAATGAGCTCTGACTGAACATTCCACSGCCTTTCCCACTTTTCATGACTAAAGATCCTGAAGCCTGTGCATAGCCCATGACAGACCAATATGCTCCTGGCACGCGCGCGCGCACACACACACACACACACTCACACACACACACACTTCCTTTAAATCTCTCTCCTGATACTCCCAGGTATCAGAGAAAGTGAGAGGACATTTTTAATCCCACAATTTGGTTTCTCTACCTATTTCTAGAACCTCATCCCTGGGTTAGAACTCTTCCATACAAGGAAAATGTGATAAACATTCTCAGTTTGTATGATAAATATCCATATGAAAATTTATGCTGGCATCATATCTGATCCTGAAAAAGTCCAAGAGATATGTACAGATATAAAAACCTTTCAACTCCTCAGAAAGGTGGCTTAATACCTGATAGGTTGCTCAGGCAAGTCCAGATCCATGTGAAAGTAGATTCATAGGTAGGGACAAAACTAACTCATGGAAGTAGAGATAAATTTTAAAAGTGGATTATTAAGACAAAGACAAATTTGGTGCCTCATAGGTGAAATTCTCCCCTCCTAATGTAGGAGTATCTTCAGGCTTTCCATCTAACATTTCTTTGTATYGACGTTTAAAGAAGCCAAGCTGTGAAAAGAAATAAATCAGAAATACTGGGTATGAGAATAGGAAGAAACTGAGAGAGAAGAAGAGAACTAAGTAAGCTTATGTTTTTGTGCCAGAACATTTATATGAACAACAGCTATCATATATTGAATATCTAGAATAGAAAAGCATAGATTCTGCAGGCAGRCAGATTTATACATATACCCTGGCCTCATTTCTGCCTAATTTCATGTAATCTATGAGGTAAGCCTTATTATCATTTAAAAAATGAGAAACAAGGGGCTTGGGTTGTAACTTAGTGGTAAAGAGCACTTGCCTAGCATGTATGAGGCACTGGGTTCAATTCTCAGCACCACATATAAATAAATAAAATGAGAAACAGATTCAGAGAGGTTGAGCAACTTGCTAACATACAGTAAATAAATTCTAGAGGCAAAATGTGTGTCTAGTCCTGTCTGGCACTATAGTCAGATTCTCACTCTATTATCCTGTCTGTGAMAGGGCTGGGTTTGGCTGCTGGTAGTGTTAGGAGTGGAATAAAGTACTTGCCTTATACAATGTGGCTGTGATAAGAGMCAGCAGCAGCAGACCTCCCACAGAGCTGCCCACGATGAGGGAGATGGGATTATAGACCTCAAATTCTTCTAGCAGTGTCTCCATCTGATTTGGAGATCAGAAAGCATGAGGTTTCATGTTGCCTCAGACTTCCCCAGGGTTCTCCAAACTTTAGCTCCCTTCCCTCCTTCCCTAGGCCCTGCTCCAAGAGGTGAGATCCAGGAGCACTCATACTCTTCAGGACATTTGTCTTGCCCAGGGACTTTCCTCCCTCCTCCCTCTAAGTTTTCAACCCCCCACCAGCAGCACAGATTTAGTATCAGGAGCCTCTTACCAGCCTGGCCACTGCCTACCCCACAGTCATTACCTGGGCTCTCAAAAATGCCTCCTGTCCTGGAAGCTGGGCATACACAGATCTATCAAATGTGATTTCAGCCACACTCATGATCAACACCTTCTTCTGCAATGTCTGCAAGACAGTGTTAGGGTGAGGGGAGCTAGGGAATTGTCTCTGAGGGAAACTCAGAGTTCAGCAAATGACCTGGCCTAAGACTTGGTGCAGACCCATCAGATACCATGTGAATCTGAGGGAAGGGGCCTACACACCTGGCTGACCCAGCCAAAGCTGAGGTTGCCTTTCAGGATGAAGTCAAGCTCCTCCTGGATGCCGAAGGAAGGGATGTCACAGCGGAACCTCATGCAGTCAGCAATGGAACAGTTCTTGAGACAGGAGAGGAAAGAAGTTGAGGAAGATCTTCACTTAGGGTGGGGGGGGACCATAAAACGAAATAAAGGATGCAGAGTTTGGGTGGAAAATAGATGAAAAATTACAAGATAAATGCATAATTCTATAATCTAGCAATACATTTTTGCTATATCCCCCAATATGGGCTGGTCCGATAGTGGGGACTCAGGGTCTTTCTTACCAGCACAGAACTCCTTGGAATCTGGGTCAGGAAGTCAGAATGCTGGGGAGGTTCCCTCTCTGACATGCAGGGGAGACTCTAGTTGAAAAAAAAAAAAATTCTTAGCAGCATAAGGATCAACATTTCCCTGATAAGAGGGTGTGCAGTACCTGTGGGATCAGTTCCTGGAGAGAGAGGAAAGACAGGCAAGCACCTGTGAAGGGGCCATCACAGTTACATCCCACACAGGCACATCATTCAGCAAGATGGGAACCCAGAATATTATGCTGATGGCCAGATCCCGCTGACTTAGGTTATTCACCTGCAGAAAATTGAGACCAAATGACATTATAGTCCCTGCCACATACCAAATCCCACTTCTTTCCTAGTGATAGCCCTGGAGTCTTCTGCATCTTTCCCACCAACTTCCAACTCCATGCACACCAGGAAGGACAGACATGAATATGTCCCAGCTCTTACGCGGTATCGATGTTCTGCCTCTTTCCTGCTGCTCTCATCAGAAATAGAAAAGCTGAAGTACTTGGTGGATTCTTCCTGTCTGGAGAGAAAGGGCCTGTTGGTGAAAAAACAGCCCTACCCTCATCCCCAGTTGTGCCCTAGATTGCTGCAGAGAGCAATGTTGGGCCCAGAAAGTGACCTAGGCAAACACTAAGGTCCCACATACCTCTGCAGCTCAGCTTCAGCTTAGTCCCCCCCTCACTGCCTTTTGCCTCTGTCACCCAAAACTACCAGCTCTTCCCTTGATACCTGTGGCTCTTTCACATCCCCATGACTTTGCACAAGTTCTTTCTTCGACCTGGAATGTCCTTACCCACTCCTCTTCTGGAAATTTTCATTTAAACGCTCAATTTGAACATCACCTCTCAGAATATCTAAAATTTTTCCTATAGGAAAAAGGCATTCACATTGCTTTCTCTAGTAGATACAGGACTGGCCTCAGATGATGCTTGCAGAGGCTGCTGCCAGAACAAATAACCCTAAGGGGAATCCAGGGAGTGACAGCTGAAGAAAAAGCGAAATAATGGCTCCTCTGTGATGGCAATGAAGAAGATAAATGTGGTCATCTTGGGGAAGGATAGTAAATGTGAAGGAAGATAGTAAGTGAACTTAAGCCTACAAAAGAGACATAAGTGTTTCAGGCTACAGGAGGATTTCCATCCATCTATCCATCCATCCATCCCTCCACTTATGGCTTCTTTCAGAAAATATTTACCATATACCAGGCTATGTGGATGGCCATGGAGATTCAACAGTTAATCCACAATCTCTGCCTTCTCAGAGCTTTAAGATCTCAGTAGAATCAAACAGTCAAGAATAAAGACCTGCACTTTTCCCTAGCACCCAGAGCACAAAAGCCAAACCAGCTACACAGAAACTTTGTGGGCCCCAGCAATTTTCCCATTATTACTTGCTAAGTAAGAACACAGGAACTGGGGTTGTAGTCTAGAGTAGAGCAATTGCTTAGCATGTGCAAGGCCCTGAATCCTATCCTCAGAACACAGAGAAGCTGCCTGAGTTCACATCTCAAATTAGCACTTCCTACTCAAGTAACTTGAGGTAAGCAACTTAGCCTCTCTGGAGACCTATAGTTTTTTTTCCTCCTTAAAATAGGGGTGCTTATAATATTGCCTACTTGTAGCAGACTTGTGATGGGGGTTATAGCAGCACCTAGCACCTGTGAGTCCTCCATAACTGTTAGCATTTACTTTTCTCTCATTGTGCTAGCCTTTCTCTTTGCTCCCCTGCCTCCTATGCTTTAGTTTTCTTATTTTAAATTTTCTTGTTCTAAACTTCTTTTTTTAAATTTAAGCAAATCATCCGACTTTCCTGAGTTTTCAGAGAAGCATATAGCATATGGCCATGGACACAGGCCCTGGAATCAAACCAYCTGGGCTCCCTAACTTGTATTAGCCTTCAAGAGCAAAAAACCTGTCTCCCAGGGTAACCTTGTAAGGCATCCAATATGATTTACCTGGTGAATGATGGGATCAAGTTATTTAACCTCTTAATTTTTCATTGATAAAATGGAGATAACAATACAATTATTGGGAGGATTAAATGAATATAAAAACAATGCAAAAAACCCACAATGATAACAAACAAAATGTTTGTCATAGTATATATAACTGTAAACTTTTATCATAAGTATTTTACTGTGGATAAAAGAGGAAACTGACAAATGTGGTTCATGAGTCCTAGATGGACAATAATAACACTGCTTGATCCCCTTCCCTAGTTCCTCTATAAATTTAACAGCAACAGCAGCAAGCTCTGTCCCATGTCACTATTATAAGCTTCTTAGGCACTTTAACCCTCTGGAGTACAATTCAGTGTGTGGAGTCCCTCACTTTGCTTCCAGCCTGGCTGGCCCCAGCTCCTTCACCCATCTTCAGAACCCATAGCTATGGCCCTACATTTGCCTCTCCTGTGGCCTTCCTTGGCTTTGAGCTTTTAGAGACCTTCCCAACAGTTTCTCACACCTCTACCCTCCTCTCAGTTTTGTAGAAACCTGACCTTTCCTTTCCTCTATGTGGTGACAGACCATATCCTGTTGGTTACCCAATTCAGAGTGCTTATAGTGGTCTCAATCTAGTAGCTTTACTTTAGCATGTTCATGTTTGGCCCAAAGGAAAGGATTGCCTTCATGTTAAAAGAAGCCTGAATTTTTGAGGGAGAGGAGAAAATGGACAGTGTTGATAAGGCGTATGTGTGTCCCACCAGCGGGCCAGTTCATCAGAGAAGAAGCAAGAATTTGTGTGGCCCATCATGTTGTACTATAAACATGGCTGGCCACCCACACAATCATTCTCATAGGAGAAATCAGAGGACATAATTTAGGTACTGCTGTAACTTAGATATGATTTGAGTTCATGCTACAAGAGTTCATGTGTTGGGTCCTTGGGCCTCAGTGTAGCAATGTTGAGATGTGTTGGGACCTTTAAGAGGCAGGTCCCAGTGAGATGTTGTAAGATCGGCCCCTCCCCCTTGCTTAAGCTTCCTATCTCATCCTGCCATCTCCTCCTCTGGCACACTTTTTGGTGTTATCTGCCACAATGTAGTCAAGGGGGGTCCTCACCAGAACTGTCAGTACGCTGTTTGGACAATCAGCATCTGAAACTATGAGCTAAATAAACCTCTGGTCTATATAAGTACTCTGCCTCAGATAGCCCATTATAGTAACATGGATTAACACAAATGCCCAACACCAAAAGGCTGACCTGCAGCAGAAGAAACTAGGCTTCAAGGAAGGTTAAAGGTCTAAGGGGAGGGATAGGGATTAAGCACCTGCTGATCATTGTGTACACTGCATATTTCACTGGGATCTCCAGCTGGAAGGTAGTCTTGTTGGTTGTAGGCTTATTATTCTCACTGGAGAAAGAGAGGGGAACCCAATTGGAAAGGAATCCAGGAGAGGAGTCTCCTGCTGACCAGAGAGTGAGGGACATACCGTGGCCTGAGCTCACCTGCTTGCATTGGCCCTCACAAGCAACCTGTCTCCCAGGGTGGCCTTGTAGGAAACATCAAAGGTGATAATGAAGGTGCCCTGAGGGAAGAAGAAAGAAGGAAGAGGGATAGGGAAGGAGCAGGGAGTAAGGGAAGGGAGTGGATCAGGACAAGGAAGAACAGTGATGAGGTTTTGTGGGGAGCACTGACCATAGTACCCTCACGGAAGATGGGGTGGTTGATGCTGCAGCTGCTGCTCCTCAGGCCTTCATTCCCAGTGGGATTTGCCTCACATGCCAGGCGCAGTGGACGCTGATGGGGTTGCTTCTAGGGAAGGAAAATGAATTCTGAAAAGTTACCCATATGCATATACAGTCTTGATATATCACAGTCGTGGCATTGCATAGCAGTAGGAGAAAGAACAGACGTTTCAACAAAAGGTGCTAGGAAAATTGACCTATACCAAAAAAGAGAAAAGGTGGGACTCCTACCTCATTCCATACATTAAAATAAATTACAACTGTATGAAAGACTCAAATGTGAAAAAAAACAAACTAAAGATTTTAAAAGATAATATAGATGACTATTTTTATAACCTTGGGGGTATCAAAGTATTACTTAACACAAAAACATGAAGTACAAAAGAAAAGATTGACACAAATCAACAACAAATTAAGACATTGTTTTTTAAAAGACATTATAAAAGACAGGCAATGGGAAAGGTATTTGAACATATAAAGTTGGAATAGGATTAATAACCAGAATATGTGAAGAGTTTTTATAAATCAATAGGAAAAATACAGGCAACTCACTTGAAGAATAGAATAAAGATGGGAACAGAGACTTTCCAAAAGAAAAGATCCAAATGACAAGGAAATATATGCAAATTTGCTCAACCTCTACAGAATTAAGACTGTCAGGAAAGAGTATTACTCACTCACCAGACTGACAGAAATTTAAAAGTCTGATGATGTCAAGTGTTAAAGAAAGCCACAGGACCTCTCACATACTACTGATGGAAGTGAAAATACTTTAAAAAATGACTTTACTTGTTAATTGAAGATATATATATATAAAAAATACACATTTTATATATATTATAATATATACATTTATATAATATATAAATGTATAATTATATATAATTATTTAATATATTATATATCCATATATTTATATATTTAATGTAAATTATATTTATATAATTATTTTTTAATTTATAAATTTATAGAAATTATATAAAATTATATAAATATATATTGTATATTGCATGATATATATTATATAATACATAATGTATATATATAATGCTTGTCATTTTATATATATATATATATATATATATATATATATATATACTCAGTAATTCTGTGTCTTCAAAATATTATGTATAGGTACACCAGGATTTACTCAATTATGGCCAAAATCAGGAAACAATTCAATAGCCATTAATTATAGAATGGAAAAATAAATTGTGATACATTTTATACAAAGAAATTCTGTATAACAATGAAAATGTTCTACCCCCACATGCAACAGCATGGATGGATCTCACAAACATAATATTGGGTAAAGAAGCAAGGCACAAAAGAGTACATATAACTTGTTTTCATTCATATAAAGTTCAGATAGCAGCAAAACTGAAGAATGTTATCTAGGGATACACCCATGGATTGGTAAAATTATTTAAAAATACAAGGAAATTATTATTGCAAAGTTGGAATAGTGATTACTCTTGGGGAAGGGTTGTGATTGTGATAGGATAAGGTACATGGTAAGAAGGCTTTGAGAAAACTAGCAGTGTTTTATTTCTTGACCCAGGTGCTAAATTTATGAACTTTTGCTTAATATAATTTATTAAACTATACATAGGCTTAATGACTTCTCTGTCTCCCTCTATGTGTGTGTGTGTGTGTGTGTGTGTGTGTGTGTGTGTGTGTGATCACTTAGAAAGTATAGGACAGTGGAGGGGCCTGCTTTGTTTTGGATACAGTTTGAATGTTCCATGCTTTTAAATATAATCTCCATTGTTATGTATTAAGAGTGTGGAAACTTAATCTGACTATGGTATTTAGAGGCAAGGCCTTGGGAAAGCAATTAGGATTAGATAAAATTATTGGGGTGGGGGTCCCACAGTTGCATCCTGGTGACTTTATAGGAAACAGAAGAGAGACTAGACCAACCCACATACACACATTTACTTTCTGTCTCTTGCTATATGATGGCTTGCATTATCTTAGGATTCTTCCAACAAGAAAACCATCACCAGATGTGGCCTYTTGATCATGCACCTCCAAAATAGTGAGCCAAAATAAACAGTTCTTTGTAATTTACCCAGTGTGTGGCATTTTGTTACAGGCAACAGAAAACAGACTAATACAAGACCCCAGTCAGCTAGAGCCCAAGGAAGGTGTTTACCTGTGTTGCTGACACCCGGCGATAGGATAGTCCTGCTGGGTAGTAGAAGTTGACTACAGTTCCATAGGAATCCTCACCCTCATTCCATACAGTCACTATCAGGTTGAGCTCCAGGGAGCTTCCTACCATCAAAGTCTGAAGGCTGAAGGGAAGGACAAGATTGGGAGTATGACTTCTCTGGAAGTAGGTTGTAATTGGATCGAGGGGCAGGAACAGGATTTGGGGAACTCATGAATCATTCACCARTAACATTCCTGTCAGAATCATTTTTGTTAGACAAACACCCGAAGAGAAGTAAAAAATCATCCTAGGAGTTTAGTAAACTCAGAAACTTGAATATCTGGATATGAAAGGAGATGGAGCTCACCCTAAGAAGCTAAAGTTGACACGCAGGTCCCCCTCACAGATGTGATCCTGCCCACAGTTCTTCTCAAAGGGAAGCTGCAGAAAATCAGTATATATTCTCTTCTCATTCCATGTTTTAATTTTTCTTCAGCCCCCTCATTAAACATGCTTATCAACATTGACTCTTACTGAACCTCTGCACCCAGTACTCTACTGATACTAGCAAGAGTAGAGATTGGGTGTGGAGGTTAGAATATAAAAAAAGACAAGGGCTGTGGTTCTGGCTCAGTGGTAGAGCACTTGCCTTAGCACACGTGAGGCACAGGGTTCAATCCTCAGCACCACATTAAAATAAATAAATAAAGTTATTGTGTTCATCTACAACTAAACTTTAAAAAAAAAGACAATATCCTTGGCTTCAAGGACAATAAAGTCCAGTTGTATCAAATCAGATTATTCAACAAACATTAAGTGCCAGTAACAGGACAGGCTTGGCAGTTTGGAGGAAATGAAAACTTCAGGCAAATTAGATGTGGTTCTTGTACTCAAGGAACATACAATCCCCAAGACAGATGCAAATGTATATGCAGATGGTTATGATTCCCCTGATGTGTATATTTGGGATGTTTTTGTGATCATGGAGTAATTGGGGGCCAGAGAAGTGAGAACTGTTGAGTGCAGGTTTTCAAAAGAGAATGAGTCTTTGGGCRTGGTATCACATGCCTGTAAACCTCAGCTTGAGAGGCTGAGGCAGGAGGATCACAAGTTCAAAGCCAGACTCAGCAACCGCAAGGCACTAAGCAACTCAGTGAGACCCTGTCTTTAAATAAAATACAAAATAGGGCTGGGGATGTGGCTCAGTGGTTGAATGCCCCTGAGTTCAATCCTCAGTAATCACCCTCCCCCCAAAAAAGAGAAGGTGTCAAGATCAGAGCTTTGAGAATTAGAGAAGATCCTTCAGATAGAAGGAGGAAATGTTTTTCAAATTGGGGATAGAATACAAAGTCTGACAGGGAGGGCTGAAAAAAGTTGGGAAGGATCAGTAGAATGGGAACAAGAGAGTTTATGTCATGGTAAAGTAGGTAACCAACTGGGATACGTTTCAGGGTCCAAACGTGGCAGGGTTTTCCTTCGCTGGGTGGAGGCTAGGAAATGTGGTGGGTGGGTTATTGTGGGCTCTTAAGAAAGCCATCACATCTCTGGGACTTCATTGGGACTTCACTGGAAGACTCACAGAAGCAGTGAACAGGTCTTGTGAGCCTGCAGCCAACACAGGGTGAAGATTCGGAGATAAGGTGGAGTCTCTCACCAGGGAGAAGTTGAGGCGCAGGATGATGGGGTTCACCACATCCTCCACACAGTCCTGAAAGAGAATGGGTTTTCAAGAACCCACTATCCTTCCTACTTTCCACCACTGGGGATTTTTCACTGCCATCTAGACAGTAGCCCAACCAAGCTGTGAAGCCAAGTCCTCCCGCCCCAACCTTCCTCTCTCCAGACCCAGTGTCCCCACCCATGGATTCCATAGGCTAGCCTTGGGATCCTCCTCCCTCTCCCTTTTCCAAAACCCAAAGTCCTTACTGGCAAAAGCAACTTCACAGTTTCACAGTGATCCCCAAGCCCCAAGGTTTTTTTTCGAGTCAAAGTCCAGTTCTTGGTCTCATTAAAAATGGCACGAGAAATCAGACGACCCGGATCCAAAGCCAGATCATACCTGACAGAGCTTTGGACATCACCTGAAGTAAAAGAAGTAGAAARAAGGAAAGGCAGAGAAAACCTACAATGTTCTCTTTTCATTTATTTGTTCATGTGATGAATATTTGCAGAGCACTTTCTATGGGCCATGAACTGTACCAAGTGCTGGGGATACACACTGAGAAGAAGATGGATATGACCCTGCCTTCATAAAGTTTATATTCCAGAAAAAGAGCCAAACATATGTC